CATTCCCTGCCTGGCACTGCTACACATCCATTAAAAGCTTTGCACTTTGTAACATGGGACATGAAGATGTTTCTCCACCAACCATGAAAAGAAGAAAGTGAAACAGGGGCTTGAGATGATAAAAATAATCAATAAGGAACTGTATCATTGGAATTTCATATGTAAGCTCTTGGGAGGAGTCTTCATCATATTTGCATGGTTATTTACTAAGCACCAACTGTATGGGAAATAAGAATACCCTACTTGCAATCTGGAGTTAATTTACATAGGTAGAAATGGGAGGCTGCCAACCTTCAAGTGAGCAAAAAGCTATAGTAAAGTGTAAAAACATAAAAAATCCTTAGAGTGATACTTACGTTTGTCCACATGCCTTCTAGATCATGTCCATATGTACATCTCATTTTGCATGGTTATAATCGCAGCACATCTACAACTTGGCATCCTGCATTTTTCAGTAAGGCTACTTTATACAAACTCTTTCACATGTCTATGCAAGCATCAAAATGGTAATTTTTAACAAATTCATGGAATTTTACTGCAAAGATGCACCCCAATGTACTTAACCAAAATGGTTCAATAAATGAACCATTTCTCTACTGCTAGATATTTAAATTTGTTCTAATTTTGAATACTCACAAATAGCACTGTGATAAACACCTATAACATAGTCATTTTCCTTTTTTCTTGGTACCAGGGATCTAACTGAGAACCTTGTGCATCCCCTATCACATAGTCATTTTCTTTTTTCTTGGAGTAATTTATTTATTAGGACACATTTTTCTTTTCTTTTCTTTTTTTGTACTGGGGATCGAACTTGGGTCCCTACACTTGCAAGGTAGGCAATGGAACCACTAAGCTAAATCCCCAGTCTCTGTTAGAACACATTTTTAAAAATAGGATTACTCGATTAAACAGTATCAATCTGTGACTTTTGCCAAAAATGTTCCAAAAGGCTTTGTACCAACTTACAATGCTACCAGCAAGAAGTAGGTAAATGTCTGTCTCCGGGTAACCACATTAGCATCAAGTTTTATTTTTACTTTTATTGATTTGATAGGTAGAAAGTGCACCTTGTAGATGTTTGAATATGCTTTTCTCTATGTACTAGTAAGGCTAGACATTTTTCCATGCATTTATTTACTGTGTGATATAATGTAAATACTTTCATTCATCTACCTACTGGACAATTCAGCCAACAGTTACGCAGCATCTACTTCATGCCAGGCCTGTGCGCACCTTTCTTACCATCTGTATGGGTTCTGTATATAATACAGATCTTAGTTATCTTTTCTTTTGTGCAGCAAATTTTTCCTGGCATATTTTCCTTTTCACTTTAATTTTACTTAAACTTTTTCCACAGTAGGGTTGTATGTATTTGAATCTGTGGATCCCTTCCTTTCTGACTTTTTTTATTGTTTTATAACATATCAGGTTATCATATATCCAGAAATTTAATAATTACCCTATTTTCGGTGGCCTTATTAATAAGCTTTATAAAAACTCTATATTCTATAATAATAAAATTAACAGCTCTAACTCCTACTTTGTAATTCTTGACCATCAACATATCTATATTTTACTAAAAGCATATAATTTAGAAGAAAAATTCAAACAAGTTTCTGTTCTAACATGTGCTATGCTGTATCCAACAAACATCAATTTTTTACCTACCGTGCCACAACTAGATGTGAACTTGGGTTTATCTAGGAAGATTCAACCTGGAATTATCTTCATAAACTCTCTTTCTCTGGCCAAAGAACCATTGCTTGAGATTCCTTTAAGCTAAATTCCTCTTGCTACTCAAACAGAGGTAGGTCCTCTAACCTTCAGCTCATTGGAATTGTAGACTCTCCGGCCCTACTCCTGATGTGCTGCATCAGAATCTGCCTGTTAAACATGGGGAAGGCTGAGGGAAAGCACAGGAGTCTTCCAGAGTGAGATAAAACACATGATGTTCCTTCTCTTAGTCAGGTGCCATCAGAATGTATACTTCCCCCAAAGTGTTTATCATCAAACCTTTCAAAGTGCCCCCTCAACACTGAGCCTAAAAATCAGCAAGCTGACCTTCTAAGAGAAAGGATGGCCTTCTGCTTGCAACCTCAATTTCATCTAGACCTGAGCTTGAAAACTCACATCCCCTACACGAGTAAAACACCTCAGTAATGGCATCCACCCCTCGTCCTTACTGTCAAGGAGACAGCAGAGAGTACCAGGGACTGCGGCAAACCTCAGAGTTCATGCTCCACCTGAGGGAACAGAAGTGATTTGGCGCCAGTGCAGTACAGCCAAAGAGGCATGCAGGCTCAGTGTCGCCAGATCTTCTCAGATTTCAAGAGAAGCTTAAAAATCTGGATTGTTAAAAATGTGAAATCTTTCAATTTTTAAATGCTGGCAATTCACTTGAAATGTTAAAAGAACACTTCTGTGTGCCAGATCCAGCCCATCAGTTTGAGACCTTGGCACTAGAAGGATGATTTTGAAACTCTTCAAACCTGGGTAACCCATCTGTGCTGATCTGCATGCCTACCACTCACACTCTGAGAGAGGTCACATCAATATCAAAGTCACACATCAAATCATTATGACTACTGTCTTTTATAATTCTGTGGTTTGTGAATATTAAAAAACTTCCAAATTAATAGTGAAAATGACCATATGCCACCAATACAAATATTTCCTAGATGCAAACTACGTGTCTAAGTAACAATATTGTTACTAGATTACAGAGAACTCATATTTAGCCCAGATAACGCATGCATTAGAGATTATGCTGTAGTCAAGTTTGTGTTAAAAATATTCTATAAACTAAAAGACAAACAAATGGAATAATTTCAAGTTTCTGAATTATAAAGTTTATCTACTGATAAGTGCAATATTAAACTTAAAATAGGACACAGTATTATTTTTTAAAGACTGAAGTATCTTTATGTGGAAACTGTGAAGTCCAGTTTGTTAAACTGTTCAATTATTCTAAGCAAATATTTAAACAACAGAGTGTAATCTGGGCATGGTGGCACATGCCTACAATCCTGAGAGGCTGAGGCAGGAGGATTGCCTTGAGTCTGAGGCCAAGCCTGGGCTACATAGTGAGACCCTGTCTCAAAAAAAAAAGTATAAAGTGCATGGTTTATATTTGTGTTCATTGGGGCCCCAGGCACAGCTGCAGCCCCAGCCACTATGACAAACTTTACTATTTGTACATATGGAGGTGGCATAAATCACAGGCTCAAAGAGCAGAATAGAGATGGGGATTTTGAATGGTCTAATTAACATTGGGCAATGTAATTTTTTAAAAAATCAAAGTCAGTTTCTTCATCTGCAGAAAAGAAAATCACATAGGGATGTCCTACACTTGAAGAATGTCAGACACAAATGTATTACTCTTTGTTTTGCACACTATGACATTTCTAGACTGACACACAGTAGGGCTGAATGAATGGAAGAACACAGGCTGCCACTGCATAATTCTATGTATTTCTGTCACAGTGAAACACAATTTAACACATCCTATTTAACTGACTCACTTGAGAAACTCATCGCTCTCAAAGAAAACCCAAACAACACAAAACTTAGGTCAGAGTTCAGATTTCATTGGGGTATTCATGGTATTAGAAAACTGCTTCAAACATGACTTTGAAAATGTCAACTAAACCATTTAAAAACATCACCTCATGCCCATAGTTGCTATGAAAGTTCTCTACTGATAAAGTATGTTAAAGTTGCAGCTTGCTGTTGAATTCCTAGGGGCAAACAGTGCGTGAGAATTGTCAGGTTCCAACTAAGTAGACAGGAAGACATCTTAAATAATCTAGTCTCTGTTTCTGTGGGAAAATAAAAGCAAGAGCTGTAAAAATGCAGAGAGCTAACTAAAATCCTTGCTCTTTAGATGAACACTGTGGGATTCTGCAGAGGAGGGTGACAGAGTTATAGGCCCCTGCTTGAGCCAAAGTGGTTCTGCTTTTATTTTCTTTACTGAGGTTAGAGCCATGATTTTTTTGAAGACAGGTTTCTACAATTTTTTTAAGTTTAAAAACAACCTTGATCGGTAAAGGCTATCTCTGAAAGAGAGCTGTGGTAAGGTTCAGAGCGAAGATGAAGAGTCCACCTCAGCTGCTGAGGCTTTTATCATCAGCCAGTTTAAAACCTTGGCTCTTGGAAGGGATTCCAACTACCACCATCATGGAGAAAAAGGAGAAAATACAGATTAAACACTTCTAAAACTTTGTCCTATGAATTTTACTTTTTGAGGTTTAAAATATCTATGTGTGAATAGGTATCATCCCTAATTTGAAAATATAAGAATCCAAAATCTGCAACTTTTTGAGCACTGACATGATGCCACAAGTAGAAAATTCCACACCTGGCCTTATGCAGTGATGGGTTATAGTCAAAACACAGGTGCCTGGCCAATGAAATAAAAGGTCTGGACAATCTGGCTGCTCACAGCGATGCAGCAGGCTGCTCCAAACTGGAGGGAAATTTTTAAAAATATGCTGGTACATGCTACTATGACCCAAAAGAAGCATTCTTTGGTATTCCTATCGTCATATTTTATAATGACAATGGTACACTTTGGCCTCTTGTACCCAGAGTAGAAAGATTCCTGCTGGTAGAACTGGTCAGCACTTCTCTGGTCACCAGCAGGAGACTCCTCCTTCCCTGTCCCGTATCTGATCGGTGAAGCTTTCCTGCTCCCTACTGTTCATGCTGTGACATGATCAGGTCTTTATTTTCAAGCAAACCACCCAATGGTTCTGTTGTGCCTTGCAGATCAATTTTCTTGCCCCCAACTTAAAGGAAAATGAGGTTTTCCTTTACAAAGGTAATCCCCAAGAGAGCTAATATTTAGGGTAAGCAGTGATATTGGTTGGGTCAATTAAAATAAACCCTTTTAAAAGCTCCTGTACAAATAAAGCTGTCTGTACAATGCTGCCCATAACATTACAAATTGGAAGCTTGGAGATCAGTATAAGAATTTTGTGGCAATTAATAAAATTTACCTCACACTGGATGTGTAGAGAGCTGGATGTATTCGGCAAGGGCTGGATACAGATGAGAACAGCTTCCAATTGCCTAAGTAAGGGAAAAAATGAAAATCAAGAGTCAAAATTACCTTTTTAGAAGAAAAGTCATAAGTTCTAAAAAAAAAAGTCAACTTTCTTTCAAATGGCTCATGTTAACACATTCTACTTTATTTACAACCCTTAGAGTTAACAGAAAACTGCCAAGATGTTCTACATATTTCTCCAAATGTCTGTTTATCATATAACATTAGCACTGGCAGTGGATCCGGAGCCCTCATTATCAAGCTGTATTAGCTCAAACACTCAGCATTGTTAGGGGAGTGAGCTCATGGCCTGTTTCGGTTTTAAATTAACATTTGGCAATCACCCGGGTAATCAAAACAAATGACTCAGTCGTTTAGAATAGATTTATTAGTTGAGCTTTTTTTCTCTTTTAACATCTTTAGAATATTTTGCCACAGGAGGGCTCGGATCCAGCTAGAATGTAGAACACAAGTCACCAGAGTAATATTTAGAGGTGTTGCCATGGAGATGAGATGCCTGTGACCACTGAAGTTATCTCCGATCAACAAAAGGATTAGGACGCAGGCAAGGGAGCAGGATCATCCCAATGCGGATGGTTGTGCAGCACTAGGAAACAGGTGTGCCATGTGCTGTTCCCGTCCCTGACACAGTCTGCCACAACATGCTGCTCTCTCCAGGCCCACACAACCTTGCCACAGGCCCAAACACATCACCACCTCATTCCTTCTGAGGAAAAGACAGCCCCACCCCCACTCCTGCTCTTGCACTGCTCCGTCCCTACAGCCTGAACAGTGCCTGGCATGCAGGCGGCTCTCAAGAACGATCAATGGAAATAGGACAAACACAAACTAAGGATTATAATCCTTAGTTGGAACTCCCCCTTCCACCAACCATTTCCAGACTGCCCATCAAATAGGCAGTGGCTATAGATTTAAGAAATATTAAGGTGCTGGACAATAAAGTGCCGCACCCATTATTCAAACAGGCTAATGAGTTCATCTGTCTAAGAGATCTAAATAACAACTATCAGAGTTGAGGACAACTCTACTAAACTCAAAATGGACAAAGCTGTTGATTACAGGGAAAGGGCTTGTCAGCCAGGTCAAAATTCCAGGAGAAGGCAAATCTGTGGCAGTGGTGAGGAACATTCAGAAGAGAATGTTTGAAATGACTGAATTCAAAGGAACACCTTCAACTCCTCTTCCCACTAATGCTTCAGGAGACAATACCTTCATGGACATACTTCATGCTACATCTTGCCTGTCCTACAGGACTTTAAGTTTCTTGGTAGTGGGGACAAAAACTTTTCTCTTTCCAAACTGAGCATGGTATGTATAAAAAAGGCTCTGTTCCTTTTTGTCTCCTACCACCCACACTCCATTCATATGGAACTCACACTTTCTAGAAAGTGCCACACCCTCCACACAGCTGCAGCAGGATCACAACATGGCACAGCTGTTGTCGCAGCCACGATACTGAAGTCAGACTGGTTCAAAGACTGGCTCTACCTCATAGTACCTGCCCAGCAACTCTGAGCCTTACAATGGCACCTTACCTCACAAAGAGCTAAGGGCAGGTGAGGCACTCACTGAATATTACAGACATAATTATCACTAATACTAGAGCAAGAAAAGAGTCAAAATGTTATCAAATTTCAATAATAAACTCCTATACTGCCACAGATGCCTGGCACCAAATATACTTCTCTTTAGATTTAACCCCATTTGAACTTCCAACCTAAATCCCTCACACTCTAGCCTTAAAATCCTATTTCATCCCTACTCATCCTTCTGGAATTGATTTTCCTGGAGATGGACACAATTTATACTGGCTTTAAAGAATCTGGGTCTCTACTTAGAAGAGTCAGAAGAGCTTAAGATCCCAGACCATGCCTTCCCTACCTTCTCTGTTGTTCCCACCTCTGTAAATTCAGGTTTAGAGGGCCACAGCTGGGGAAGGGACGGGGAAAGTATCTTCTAGCGACCAAACCAGGACCATGGCTATACCTTTCAGAGGACTTCCTTGCATTTCCTGTTCCCTGACATCATCCAGAGGCCAGGCCCAAAGGCTGGGAGGCAAAGCTCTCAAAACTGGGTCCTACTCAAGGCCCTGAGAGAGCTGTCTTCCATTCCATACTTTATAGGTTACCCATCAATAATGAATCCACAAAGGAGTGACATGTTAACTACATTTGTGCCTCCTTTTCACTTTACTGTAACACTGCTTGGGGCTCTGAGGAAGAAGACACTCATGGTGGGTATACTAGAGTGTACTTTCAAACTGCAGCAGATAACTGGCTCCGACTAGACATAATACAAATCATGTTGACAATATTGCGCAAGTCACAGAAGGAAAACAGAGCAGCAGCCAAACGCATTGGGTAAAATATGATGACAGCAAAGTAATCCAAAATAAAACCCAAATACTTCAGGGTCAGTCATGCTTTAAAATAAATGTTAATCTTATCCATCCTGACAGAATTAATAAGTGAAATTAGACAAACCATTTATATTATTCCTGAATAGGCGAGCAGTTACATTTTAGTGTTTAATACATACCACCAACTTTCCTTCAGGTTTAACCAAAGTATTCTGGTCTCAGACACTGATGACCATATCAGCACTTAAAGTCAAGCTCAAATGATCCCTAAATCACCAATCAATTGGGTGAATTATGAGGAAAAATAAAATCCAGAGATAACAGCTGTTTGAATGAATTTAAAAGACCAGTTGAATCAATCAAAATGGATGATCCCCAGGGATTCACTGTCTCCTTTAGATTCTTTGAATGTGATTGCCATGGCAACCGTTCCTTAATCATGTCCTTCAGAATATTCTCTCCCACCTAAGAAATCAATGAGCGGGTAAACCCCAAACATCTTCTTAAATAGGTACACTTGTGATGGCAATGGGACCACAGACTTCTCAGTTACCCTACTTTTTAAAAAATTTACCTACTTGAGCTCCTATGAGGGTCACAAACACTAGCAATATGCACCATTAAAAACACATTTTCAGTGTTACCATAAAAGGCAGTAATAAATGCAGCTGAGATGGCCACTGGCTCATTTCCTTTAGCAGAAGAACTGATAAATTGGCTCTCACTCAACAAAATAATTTATTCAAAATAAACAGTTCAGATAAAACATCTTATCTTTAATAATTCCAACATAACTAAATTGTCAGTCTGCAACATAACCAAATCATTAATGACATATTAATTTAGTAGGTAAACAGAAACTAAAAGGATGGAGCAATGGGTGTAGCTCAGAGGTTTAGCACTTGCCTAGCACTAGCACACCTTGCCTTGGGTTCAATACTCAGCACCACAAAACACACACACACACACACACAGAGGATATTATCAGTTAGAGAAATATAATAAATTCCCATTTTGTGTCCTATAATAAGATTTGTTATACAGTGTAGCTGATGATATACTTCTCTGGAAAATCATTTATTTCCATTAACATGGATAAATTATAAGCTTCTGCCTTTATTTTATATGATATAAATCACTATATTATTCACATCTGAAGGGATAGTTTTCATCCTTATTCAATTTGGGAAAGATAAACTACATTTTAAAAAGGTGTCTACTAGGTGTACGGTATACATTTACATTTGTGATTAGGCCAGATTTTTGCATGGACTTTTGCAGTTCCTGAACTATTTTTAACTTTGTGTTAGTATATATGTAACCTTTAAAAATACTAAATCTGCTTTTATAGTTTTTCAAACTAGTAAATATCTTACCAAATGTGGTCTGACCTATAAATTGAAAAGAATGTGTAAGAGTAATCAGTGCCCCCTATTATTCCCCCAAATAAACATCAAAAAGATCTTTCCATGGGCGGTATCTACAGCCAAATTTAAAGAACTTTTTGGTCAGGGGGTCTGAGGGTGTAGCCCAGTGGCAGAATGTGCCTAGCATGTACAAGGCCCTGGGTTCCAACCCCAGCACCAAAAAAAAAAAGGAATTTTTTTTTGGTCATAAAGGGAGAAGCATATATGTGCTTATTTCTTGACAGGCATACTAAAACATTAAGAATATTTAATTTAAAAACCACTGAAAGTAGAATAGAGGAAACTAAAATTATCAGGCATTAGGAACAAAGCAAAAACAAGTCAAATGGTGAAATCCAGCAAGAAAAATAGAGTGACAAATATTTGCTAAAGTCAAAAGGTAAAACCTTGAAATTCTTGTCCTTTGCCCTAATGTTCAACAATACTTTTGTTTTGTTTTAAAAATAAGGAGATTGACGTCTTTTCAGTGACTATTATAGCAGCTCCCAAATAAAACCAATGACAGAAATTCATTTAATTGACTGAGAGGTTTGAATTAGCCATTGCCAAGTTTACAACTTTCCCACAATTGCAAGCATTCTTTCGTTAAGAAAACTGCATTTTTCCCTGACATGATGATCAAGAAGAGCTTGTTAGGTAATGATAATTCTCTGTTTATATAACTCCCTGTGAACCATCCCCCAAATTAGAACTACATCAAAGCAATGAGGGACATAACTGATACAGATGTGTGACAATTCTGACAGAAGCATCTAGAGAACTGTAGTCCTCCCTGAAGTCTGAGAGGGACTCCTGAACCAAAGACACTATAAGACCTGTCACCCCATGACCCTCAGTAAACCATGCCCATTTTTTTGCAAAAGAGCTTTCATGGCTTTTCTGCCTTGTGATCTCATTTCTACAGGCCAAATTTGGCCCACTATCACTTCACACAGAGACTGCTTAATCAGACTTAATGATGGGCATGCACCCTTCTTTATGTAGCTGTCAGGATAATCTCTCAAACGTACCAACTCAAAGGTATCACTCGCTTTCTGCAAAACCTTGCTCCAGTTTAAGGGCTAAATTTCTTAGCTTTAGATTCAAGATTGTAGCTCAATTTCACCTTTCCCCATATTCAATGATGGCTTTGGCTGACTCGTCGTCTCTGAGGGTCACTGCTACTAGAGAATGAAAGGTGCTTTGGCTCATGCTGCTCTCCCCTAATTAGTGATTCTCAAAACCAGTGCACCATGGGAGCTATAGCAACTACTCATGTTTAGGTGCTTGTTATGGTTTGAATGTGAGTCCTATAAAATTTAGGTGTTGAAACCTATTGGCCAATATATTATATTAAGAGATAGGCCCTTTAAGAGGTAATTAGGCCATGAAGGGTCCTCCTTCATAAATGGAATTAAGGCCCTTATAAAAAGGCTTCACTCAGCATTTAGCCTTCTTGGCTTTCAACCTTTTCCCCAAATGTGGTCTCTTTCCCACTTAGCACATCTTTCCAGTGCTGAACTTGAATCTGACCATACTTCCCAATGATGGTTCTGAACCAGAGGCTGCAAAGCCAGGATGCCAAGGCAGGACAACTACTGATGGCTTTGCAGACCTGCTTACACTGCACAGTACAGTTTAAGAGGCCCTCATCAAAGTTTCTTCCTTCTTTTATTCCCTCTAACAGCTCTCCCCACCTTCCTTGCTGTTATAGTTTGAATGTTTTTGTACCCTCTAAAATTCATTTTGAAACTTAATCACCAACATACTGTTAAGTGCAAAGGCCCTGAGGAGGTGATTAAGTCATGGAGGATGGAGCCTGCAGGAGAGGGGTTAGGTGCCCTTCTAAAAGAGCTAGACAGAAGAATTCATCCCTTTGGCCCTTCCACACTCTTTCATGTGAGGACACAACATTCCTCTACTGAGAACACAGCAGCAAGGTGCCACCTTGGAAGCACAGAACAATCTTCATCAAACAATGGAACCTGCCAGTGCCTTGATCTTCAGCTTCTGGCCTGCAGAACTGTGAGAAATAAATTTCTGGTGTTTATAAATCACCTAGTGGCAGGCGTTTTGTTATAGCAGCACAGACTAAGATAATATCCTACCCCCAACAAAGTTTCCACAAATAAATCTAATGCAGCCAAAGTTGAGAACCACTGTGCCAAATTCCTACAGCTCGTAGTTGTCAAACTTTAGTGGGCATTAGGTCTCCTGAGGGAGGGGGTATCTTGTTAAAACTCAGAATCCTGGGCCCTATCCCTGGCATTTCTGACTCATCAGGTCTGGGCTCATAAATTTGCAATCTAACAAGTTCACAGATTATACTCATGCTGGTGAGCCACAAGCTCCATTCTAAGACAGTGATCTATACATAATTATAATTAGTATAATTATATAGTATAAATACACGTATCCAGATATATATAATGGTAATCATCACAAGTATAGATTGAGTATCCCTTACCTGAAATCTTAGGGCAAGAAATGTTTCAGATTTAGAATTGTTTTCAGATTTTGGAATATTTGCACAGACTTTACTATTTGAGGATCCATAATCTGAAAATCCAAAATCTGAGCACTTAGGGATGTTTATTTTAACCTTTACAACTCATTTAGCAAAAAAACACATGCCATCTTCTGGAATCTCTCTCACATTTGTTTATGAACCAATCTATACACAGTCTTAGAGACTATCCAATCCCCTTTAACAAAATGAAATCATGAGCAGGGAAGTGATTTGCCCAGAGGATCTGGTTAGTGGTAGAACTCTTGCTAGGATTCAAAACTCCTGACTGTCCCTGCTCCCCCACCCCATTCAATTCAATACTCTTTCCACCACACCCTAAGTTTGTCTGTACAAGCTTTTCCAATTAGAATGAACATTACTTGCTTGAAAAGTTCCCTACTGATATTCTCCACAGCATCTGGCATGCCAGCAAAGTGCCTTGCACATTAGAGTAGGAACTCGATAAACACTTGTTGATTTACATTTTATGAAGTACTCAGCCACATACTTGCCAAAAGCTGGGTTTGGCACTCCATGAACTGTTTCCTTACACTATGGAACATGCACAGCTCTGCTTCCACAATTAGCCACAGAGTACATTCTTCACATCAACATGCATGCTGCCATTATCTGCTCTGGAGACAATGACAAAATAAACGTTATAAAGAAAAATTACACATGCTTAAAAGAGGAGAGGTAAACCACATCATGAAATAATTATGAGGTGAAACAATTCAATTTCGAGTTGCATGTCAGAAGACCTTTACAAAATACCTACGTTCCCATTATATACCAAGGAAAGCACTACAGCGGTTAAAAAAAAAATCTGAATGTCAAAAATTACCAAGTACATCATTCTGGTAATTTGAATACTTTGGCCAAACTTTTATTCATGTTGAGGCCCTCTTTCTCCATTAACAAAATAACTTTTAAAATTACTGGACTAAGAGTAAAGAGGAAACAGAAGGAAGAAGAGACTAAGAGGAGCCAAAGGATGGCAAGAAAGAGGTGAGTGAGCAGGAAAAGCAAGAGGACACTGCCACATACCTGCCCCAAAAGCCCCTTCTATAGCCACAGTTTGCACATCTGCACATTCAACCAAGTGTGGATAGACATGTTCAAAAAGAACATTTACAAGTCACACAACAGCTTTGGGCCCAAAGTAATCACACTCTGACCTGGGTACTGGCTCAGAAAGCTGACACAAACTCACCAATTAACTGTTTCTAGTGACACCACAAATGCAAGAGTCAAAACAGTGCTCACTGGATAGTAGGGCGGGGAACTGGTCAAGCCTGGGCCTTTACCACAGGATGGCATGACACACCAGCAGGTGGCAGACAAGGAAGTCTCCAAGCCAGTGCTCACAGTGATCCATCTACTGCCTATTACGCAGCTATGCACAGCATTTGACACTACTGCCAAGCTTTCATGAGATCTCGAACAAACACTAGACTTTAATCTATGAGGGAGTAACAAAACGTACCTCATATAGTCTTTGTTTTCCAAAACTCAAATGTATAAACAGTTTTTAGTTAACAGACTATTTGTGAGCAGTTTTAGGTTTACAGAAAAGCTGAGTGGAAAGCACTCAGTTTCCATATACCTCCTCAAGGTCCTCCTTGTGACTTCCCATCCATCATTAATTTCATGCATTGGTGTGGTATGCCTGCCCCAACTGATGGGCCAGTATTAATATGTACGTTATGAACTAAAGTCCTACTTTGCATTAAGGTTCATCCTTTGTATCACCCTTTTTTGGCATTTTCATAAATGTTGAAGGTGTTTTTAATATTGTTAGAGTCTGAAGAATAAATCCTCACACCTCATGACCATTTTGTTTTAGCTTTGTCAAAGAAAATTTTATAGATTTACAATATAAATCATTTTTTTGATGATTTATGATTTCAAGACTCTTGTACCATAGCCCAACAAATAAATTCAACTTTGACCACCCAAATATCAGCCTTTCACAACCATTCAACATTCAGTAGGGTTCCAAAGTTGGAGTTAGAAGTTACTGGGTCACAAAATAAAAAATGAGAAACGCAGCCCCCAAGATGTCCCCTGACAGGTTGGAATTATTTCTTGCTTATTTAGTCTGGAGACATTTATGAAAATGACCTTGTCCTGACAAGAATAATGCAAGAAGTAGTATTAGGAGATAGGAAAGACACATTAAAAAAATCAGGGAAGAATACAGAGACGGCAGAAACAGAAATCCGAAGTGGTAGGACAGTAGATGCAGACCATAGCAACAGCCATTGAACAGAGACAACCAGACATTTTTTGACATTTGAATTTTTCTGAGGGAATGAAAGGGGACAAATTACATCTCAGTAGGGTACCTCTTAAATTGCCCAACTGAACATATTGCTAAGAAAATAATGTTTGGCATATTAAAAGTTTTCTCTGCACATAAACGTGTGTAAAGACAGCACACTTTCTATGCACAGAAAATGCTCTCTGAAGCCTGCTTCAAATCTTCTGGTGAGCACAAAGGATATAGGGTCATTCCAATAAAATGTGTGTGTGTGTGTGTGTGTGTGTGTGTGTGTGTGTGTGCGCGCGCGTGTGCCTGCGTGCCTGTGTGGCTGGAGGTACAGACAAAACGTCATGTGCCACATTAACATTTCAGTCCAGAATGGACTATACATTTGAATGGTCCCATAAGATTATAATGGAGCTGAAAAATTCCTATTGCTTAATATTTTTTTACGTTTTCTATATTGACATGTGTAACACTGTGCTACAATTGCCTACAGTACTCTGTACAATAAAATGGTACACTGGTTTGCAGCTGAGGAGCCTGTAGTCTAGATGAGGAGGCTAAGCCATCTATGTTTCTATAAGTACATTCTGATATTTGTACAGTGACAAAATCATCTAACATTTCTCAGAAAATATACCCATCTTTTTAAATGTGTGACTGCCTACAAATATAAAACCCTTTTTCCCCTTTCATTTTTTACTTTACAAATAAATGAAGCAAAATTGAATTTTATTTTTTCCTGTTCTTCCAGGATTTAACATCTTACTGACCCTATTTAAGAACACATAAGGCTCTTGTTTATCAGAATTGTTGCTCTCTTGGCTGTAATTTTCCTTTGATCCAAATATGTAATAAGACTATTTGCTAAGTAATTTACTTGTAGGCAATGAGAAAAGACTCTAGAAAATCAATACCTAGAATTCCTCTGTAATATTATTTTACCTTAAATCTACAGAATTGCACTTGAGACATAAATCTGATTTTTGTGTACAGGATCCACAAAGTTTCAAAGCTAGTCTGGAATGTGGCTCTCACGCAAAAGCAGATCAGAGGCTGCTTAGAAATGGTGCAAAGAAATAATGTATTACAAAAGGGCCATGGTGAAACTTGTAGGGATGAAAAATATGCACAGCCTGACTATGGCTACAAACATTTGACAAAACCCAGCAAATTGGAGGTTTTAAGTGAACAAAGTTTGATGTACATAGTCAATAAAGTGGATATATCAAAAGTAGTTCTAACAAAGGTCAGCTGCTTTATCCATATATGGAAGTAGAAACTTTCACGTCCTTGTATTAGTTTGGCTGCTTGGTTTCTTTCCTTGGTATGATTAGGTGAGCTTACAACACTAGAAAATTTCTTCCCAGTTCATTATTTAAGAGAAGCATGGCTAGGATTTGAAAGCTTGTATCGATCCTGGCATTTTTTTTTTTTTTTGGTACTTAGATTTAACTTGGGTCCTTGTGCTTGCAAGGCAGGCAGCAGAACCACTGAGCTAAATCCCTGACTAGATAGAGCATCTTCGACAGGGAGTTTAACAGGCTTCTTTAGCTTGTAGAAGCTATCATACTAAGGACTTTAACTATTTTATTCATTTTCAGTATTGCAAACTATAATCATCTACAACGTAGTTCTTACAAAGTATTGAAAAACCATATATTTTATTAATTCTCTCAATCCACTACCATTGTATTGCTTTGTTGAGACAGAGTCTATGGAGCTCAGGCTGGCCTTGAACTCACAGCAATCCTCCTGTCTCAGCCTCCCGAGTGCTGGGATTACAGGCATGCACCACCACACCCAGCTTCAATCCACTACTATTGTTTATTGATATAGTATGAATTATAACTTGTGTATCTGCCTCTGTGTGTGTGTGTGTGTGTGTGTGTGTGTGTTCTCCCTGGTGTCTAAGAAATCAAGGGAAAACAGACTCATTACTTCAGCTGCCCTGGCCACATCAAAGTGCAGATTATTGATTATACTTATAGGCAGATGCTAACAATCAGCATTACAAATAAGAATGGTACATAAAACTAGGTCTGGAAGATTAAACTGTAAAACCAACTCCTAATGTTCTTAATACATCACACATTTCAAATCTGGCAAGAGTCAAGCAGAGCCTTAACCACATTCTAAATTAGAAAGTGAATGATAAGACTTATTAACTAATCAAGTATACAGATTTAGTTTTGTAACATTCTCATCAAAACAACTTTATCAATAAAATCTCGGAATTTCCAGCTATCATTTCTTTAGTATGAAAGTAAATCTAAAACCCTGTGATATTAAATATTATTGTGATTATATTGTCTATGGAACATTCGATGTCTTGAAATATGTGTAACATTTTATATGAGTAAACAAATACAGATTTCACAAGCAGTAAAGCGCTGATAAGAAAGACATCTTATTTTAATTGTTCTTTTCTCTGGGATTCTTCCATGAAAAAACACAGTCTACGTCTCTCTCCTCTCTTTGCATTTTATAATAGTTCAAAAACAACACAACTACCACTGTTTAAATCCAGAGGAAAATCCATTTTCAGAAGAGAAATACAGTGTACTGTAAGCAGCTAGGAAGAGATGGACCTTTATTGATGATGCAAGCATTCATTAGCAGGAAATAATGATGAGCAGGAGCAAATACTACTGAAAGCACATTGCTAGACAAGGGTAAAATTTTCTTAACATTCACATATTAAACCATTGGCAATGTGTACCTACATTCATTATTTCATGTAGCTTTGGTATTTTTTGAGGCCCTGGCTGTAAAGAAGGAATAATGTAATTTAAACCTATATAACCTGTGTATATATGTTAACCTATCCTATCAATGCCAGTTCTGTAGAGAATGACACCAGCTCTTCTCACTTCATATTTGCCCTGGAGGTCATCTCCCCTGTCCATTCAAAGCTAAGAATCAGATATGGCCCAGTTCAGACATAGTAACTGTGTAACACTGGCAAAGTGGTGTAAGAGAAAGATGCAGGAGCACATGAATGTGCTGGAAGGATCTGGTTACACCAAGAGCCTGGAAAAAAGAAAGTGGGCTGTCAGATGGGCTGAAAATAAGAGTCACCCTGAGAGTAAAATAGCTATAGGCAAAGGGAAAGAGAGGAACCCCACCCAGCCACAGAAAGAAATGAAGAGTGGCAGGGGGAAAAAGAGAAGAAAAGCTAAAGAACGTATTTTGTCAGGCTGGGGATTCAGCTCAGTGGTTCTGCCACCCACCTTGCAAGTGCAAGGACCCAAGTTCGATACCGGCTACCAAAAAAAAAAGAACTTATTTTGTCTAAGAACAAGTATCTGTATGCT